TCATCGACCCCACCTACAATTTCCTGATTGTGGCAGTGGTCACAGGTTCGATTGGATATCTAGGTGTATTTGGCACCCTGGCACCTTGGACCTTGGCTCCGGAGAACTGGATACTGGCTCCCTAGTGGATTTCAGCTGTATTGCTAATCAGATGTTGTCTAGTCCAAGGCCTCGATTGTGCTTTACACAAAACGTTCATCTTTGATTTGAGCGAACTGAAAATATTTCCCCATGAGAAACTCCCGGAACTTTTTCTTTGTTTTAGAGATTATTACACAGTGATTGGTATCATCAACATAATAATAGTCAAAATAATAATAATAACGATAATGAAAATAATCCGAGTCATCATCATCATCAAAGTGTCAAACTTTCAAAGAACACAAAATAAATCATAAATTACAAGATAGGGAGAGATTCGTCCTCATTGTAGGTCGGAGAAGAAAATGAACCGCAGTGGTCAACACAGAGTTCCAAACGCACCTGTGTATACAGGCATTCTGATCTGATAAGAAATGACAAGAACGCTACAGTTGTCGATTAGTTGTCATATCCTTCAGTGTCTCCCACCAGCTAGTTGCAGTGTTTTAGACCCCGAACTGGAAGACGGGAGATATCTACTCCACCTAATCGCTTTATGTTTTTCTTCAGTCATCGTTTCCACATCGTCTGTTGACCTGCACCAGTTCATGACGCAAACACTATTACTGAAACTGGTTAGAGCCATCTCGATCGATTTACTATAGTTTATCCAGTGTAAAGTTTGAACAATATTAACTAGTATTTCTTAGTGGAGAGCAATTTTGTTAACGAACTTTTGCTTGATCTCATTTTGATCCAAAATCATTCCTCTAGAATCTCGTGCAATTCACTATATTGCACTTACGGGCCTCTTACAGATCATTTGAGTTTTGTAACCTTGGGTTTTGTATTTGGCTTTAATTTTTTTTGTCAAGGACTAGCAGTTTACCCTTTTTAATTGTTGTTCCATTACAGGGAATCGATCGCACTTTCATACAACCACTTACAACTCTAATGTCGGTCCAGGACCGTTTACAACATCGTTTTTGGGCTCCCAGAATGGATCTATTTCAGCAACGAGCTCCGAGTCCTCATTGGCTTCCGGCATGTCTGATGCCAACACGGCAGCTTCGGGAGAAGTATCTTGGAGACGATTTGGTGTTCCGTTGGAAACAAACGCCTCGTACGGTATTCGTCCCGAACGTTGGGAAGAACCACAAACTGTGCTGGACGATCTAGCTCTTTACGAACGTCCATCCACGGACCCGTGGTCCCGCGTGGGCTATCATCCAGTGCAACTGAATGCGTATGGGTGCGATACCAATGGTCGTGTGGAGTCTGAGACAGTGAATCAACTAGGAAACGAGTGCAGTCCAAGCAACCCGGATCGTGAATCACCTTTGTTTTACTCACTAGCCCCTATTCAGAGTACTGGTTGCCCTACAATATGTCCGAATTGTCGATGTGAGGCTAACACACCAATACAACAGCATCCACCGCCACTACAAGCCGTAGCTCATTGCTCCTGCACCGGGTATCACCAGTCGGAGCCCATTTCCAGTCCGACTCATCGATTTGGAGCCTATTTGGACCAGAACACTCCGACTAAATTGACTCGAACCGCACCAGTCACTCACACTCCATTTCCGTCACTCGTTCTGAGTCGAGTGAGTTCCACAGAACACTCCGGCTCTTACTACGACCCCCGGGACGAGGTAGTCACTAACACGCATAGTGTGAACGGCGACTCCTCGGATTACCCTGGCCTCGGATCTCCCGCATCGTCCACTTCCGGTTTAGATTTCGCCGGGGATGTCCGAGCCGTGAATCTGGTTTCACATGATCAACTACCGCTCCGAACATGGATTTGAATCTCGGCGGTATTGTCTTTGTCCAGTCACTTAATAGATAGAAAGATAGATAGATGTATCAAATTGCAAACTAAGTCAAACACAGTCAGGCAAGCAGGCAGTTTGAAATTCAGATGGAGTTTCGGTTTTTTTTAATTTTTGTTATCTGATTTCCGGTGAACAGTGTAAAAACTGCACCTTTTGGCATTGTTTGTCTATAAATGCATATATATATATATATTTTCGAACCAGTGGATGCATTTTTCCCGACAAATGCTACTTCGATTACACTCGAGTACATATAACTATATAAGTATGAGTACACAACCCTCTGGATCCAATTTCCCTTCCTTTTCTCCAGCTCCAATCGGGCCCATCCAGCCTCTGGAATGAAAACGTCCCTTTGTGTGTATTTAGGTGTGTGTTTGATCTATATGCAACAAACAACAACGTGTGAAATGGAACTTTTGTAATTGATTACTTGATCACAAACAAGGAACAATTTGTGGCAAACATCATACACTTATTTCTCTTCTTCACAACCATCTTCCGGTGAATTTATATTTTGCTCTCTCGTTTACTTACTGTTCTTTCTATCCATTGTTTGGTATCCCTCCTGGCCCCCACCTCAACCTCCGACCCCTGGGGACCTGTTCAATTTTTGGATTAAAATGAAGGTCCTTTCATGCGGTTCCCAGTTTTACACGATCTCTTCCCTGTCTACACCCGGTTAGCCAACTTGGCAAATCACAGATTTTTTACGCACACGCACGCACGCACACAAACACACCACATTGAATTCTTATTTCTGCTCAGATTGTGTAATACAACTGACGAAGAATTGTACCGTGATTCGCTTTCTATTTTCCTCGATCGGTTGATCTGTGCGATTAGTGAGGATCACGTTTTTTTCCAGTCTGTTTCGCCATCGAGTTCCAACGGTACGGTTGGAGAGAATTAGTAACCTGGATACCCTCGAGGTTAAACAGAGCTGAATGCCACCGGGCGCGTCCCCGGGTTGTGGTTAGGGGGATACATTCACCGAAGAAGGTTTCGCTGCGAATAAGTTGTGGCATACCGCAACAAATAAGCAGTCGCGAACAAACGGTGGCGGCATTGCCAGGGTGTGGTGGATTTCAGGCTGGTCACCTGACTATTGTTTAAAAGCCGCATAAGCTCGATGACGGTGTCGTGACAAAGG